TAGAACTTTAGGGACTTAATTGGATCTGATCAGAAGTTGTATAGACTAAATCGAATAAAATACGAAATTCAATGATTCAATGGAGAATTTTAGAATTTTTTAAGACTAAATTAAACTTAGGATCTAAATTCACCATATTCTGCCAAACACTCTCCCTCCTCTACTAGTTCCATTCTTTGAGTCGCTTTCTCTGTCTTCACTGTCTTCTCTTTATTTTTTTTATCGCCTATAGAGGACGCTGTTAATGACAAATGATTTGATTAGTAATATTTAAATAATTAAGTAGTTTAATTGATTAAATTAAAATCCTTCTATAATAAAGTGATTATGCATGTAGTTTATCTATAATTTAAATATGATCTAATTTTTTTTGAAATAAGGTATTTTGTATTGAAATGTTACAAAGTACACTACCTCAAGGACCTCATTAAAAACCCTCCTTAAACCTATATGGAGGAAAAAGAGTAATCCTTAAGGTAGATAAAATCAAAGAACATCTTTAATAAAGTTGATCATACAAAACAACCACCATCCCTAACTCCAGACATGGAGAAACAAAGATATAGACCATTCAATTTAACCAGACACTAAGCATCGATCTAAACCAAGGACATCAATCTTCGAGCAAAAGACACCTTAGGCTCGAAACAGAATCATGGACAGCAGGAAGCTGCATTTGCCACAACCACTAAACACGTGCTCCAACCTTGAACTTAGAACCCATATATAAAACACCTTTGCCCTTCACCTCTACTGAATATAAATTGCAACGCTTTGAGAACTAAAAGGATAAAAATGGCCTAGCAAAACTCTAGCAACCAGAAAATTCATATGCAAAAACTATTAAACTCCTCGCAGACAACTGGTACGAACAACAACATTACAATTTCCCAGAACCTTCAAAAGCTCAATCAATGACAACTCAAAATAGTGAACCGTAAATGCTAGACTTTGATTGCATCAGAAGAACTAGACAAGAACAAAAAATCTTGGAATTATAGGAATCGAACATCCTTAAAGAGCAGCTGAAACCCAACTTCCGACATAATAAGGAGAAACTTTACAGAATAATCAAATACACTATCATCAATTTCCAATCAATAAAGAATCTGGAGTACGTACGAAATCTTGAATACTGGGAATTAGCGATGGCCAAAGTGAATTAGCCCACAAACCTATCAGAACCATAGCGGAATGAAAAATCTGATCGACCGAAAACGACTTGCCTTGAAATCTGTTCTTATTTCACCACAACCATATATTCCAGATAATACCGAAAAAACCGATGATCCATAAAGCCCGAAATTTCTTTTTGAAGTTCTGAGAATACCATACCTGCAGCAAATCTTTAACATTCGAAGGAAACATCATACTACTGTTCCACACAAAGCACCAGCATTGCCAAATCTGCCATACGAACTCGCAATTCAGCAGTAAATGATTAATAGATTCTGGAAACTTAGTGCAGAAAGGACAACACAAATGATCCGAAACGTGAACTCCTCGCTTAATTAACTCGGAAATTACCGGCAATCTTTAATTAACTTAGTGCAGTAAGGTATCACTAGAATGGCTACTAGAATTAGGTCCAAGCTTAGGAATTGCTCAAGTACCTGGTATCGGCTTAGTTTTTTCGAACCTCGAATCCCGGCCAACTTCTCTCGTTTTGTCACAAACCTTCCTGCCTTCCATTGCGTTCTTGTCTCTGTGTGTGTAAAATCAGTACCTGTCCCTTTTGTACCCCCAGCTGAGCGTTATTTTGTGGGTCGTGTAGGTCCTTCTGCTCATAGCTGTTATAGGTGCATTGTTAGTTATGGTTACCGAGACATGCATCAGGATGTCGATTCTTTCGAATCAGAACTAATTTCCAACCTGGCTGATTTCATTCAGTATGATTGATATCTAAGCCAGAACAGTCCCCGTGCCGCCAAGGCTGATGTTGTCATCCGCTCAAAGAATCAACAAGCGAATGTAGATTAACCGTGATAGATGCATCAGGATGTTGATTCTTTTGAATCATAACTAATTTCCAAACTGGCTGATTTCATTCAGTATGATTGATATCTAAGCCAGGACAGTCCCCGTGCCGCCAAGGCTGATGTTGTCATCCGCTCAAATGAATCAACAAGTGAATGTAGATTAACCGTGATAGGGACGATTGCATTCTCTGGCACACCAGCTTACGAGATTGAGAAAAGCATGCAACCAGCAAGTGTATCTGTTGGATTCTCGACCGTAGAGAGTGTCACGGATGTCATTGAAATGGAGCCTGTGCGTGCTGTTGAAAGAAGAGTTAGATTTGCCATCAACGACCACTCCGAATCCAGTGTCCGGACCAACACGGAGTTGCAGTTTAGAGAAGAGATACAAGATCTGATAGCAGCCCAAGAAGCCGGGACTGCATTCATACTAGGCTATTCACATGTTCGAGCAAAGCAAGGATCATCGGTTTTGAAGAGACTGGCCATCAATTTCGGGCACAATTTCTTGAGAAGGAACTGCCGTGGAACAGACGTGGCACTCAAGGTTCCACCCGTATCATTACTAGAGGTGGGCATGGTTTATGTGGTGTAAGCCTATGATGTAAGTAGTTTTTGTAGCCTTGTATGCTACACTCCAAGCACAATGCAATTACCCTCTACCACAAAGTGGTGTCTGATTAATCTACAATCTATGCCTGTTGTTGGCCATGAAATTTTTATTATGACATTTCTGCTTTGTTAATGTATGCTTGTGAAAGGGCCACGTATTGGACTTGTAGCCACCAAATTCACCAGGTGACTATGATTCTATATATATATAAAAAGCTAGCTTGGTTAACCTCGTGGAGGACGCCATTGCCAAAACCAAAGCAAGCATGGGACCAAGGGCTCTTCCGTTGTCACCTTCTCAAAGCATTATACCTGAGCAACATATTCTCAGCCAAAGGTTAAGAGGCAAGAGTTCCCCAACATTGTTTAGAGTTTCAGCTAAACAACAAGAGGAGAAGGCTGAGGGAGAAGGGACAAAGAAGAAGAGCAAACAATCTTTGTTTAGCAGTGTGATTGAGGCTCTGGATTTCTCTAAAGTTAGGTCAGCAAAGGATGCCAAGTAGGTATGGCAAACGGGTACAGTTTCATGGATTCCGTACTGTATTCGCTCCACGGGAATGGGTATAATTTTAGCGGGTAGTGGGCGGGTGTGGATTTATAAAGTGGTACCCGTCGTGGGCGGTGGGAGGGTAATGGGTTTGAGACATTATCCGCCCCGCATCCGTCCGCCCCACATCCGCCCACCCAGCTAAATATCTATTAGATTTTGGACCATTATAAATTTAGGTGTAATTTTAGAGACTAATTTATAAATTTTAATATTGTATAATATATGACATATAATTTAACCAAATATTAAGGATATTTAGTCTTTAATCTGATCTTCAATTAGGGAAATATTCGGCTCTTTGATTAAATCCATAATCTCACTAACCACGTCATTTTCCATGTTCTTTAGCCCATGCTGCCCATCCAAACATAAATTAGCCGTACTATATGCATTAACATCAAAAGCAGCAGTTTCTATATTTTTTAGTCCCTCAAAACCCATATTAGGTGCACTATGAGTATTAATATCGAAAGCAACTCAACAATCCAGCTCTGCGACTACATGCTCCCAACAATCTGTCTCCATAACATTCGTAGAGCCACTCCTCTGACCAATTGAAGCATGCGTTGCTACCCCATCACGAACTGTCTGGGAACCAACTCTAACATCCCATTAGTTTGTTGTCAGGCGAGTCTAGATGAGTATATATGTCGCTAGTGAGTAGTGGGTGTGGGGATAGATTTAAAAATGTACCCTCGTGGAGGGGTGTGGATTTGAAAATTTGTACCCATCATGAGTGGTGGATGGGTGGTAGATTGAAAAATATTAGGTGGGTATGGGAATAAGAGAGGGGGTATCCACACTCGACCTGCCCGTTTGCCATCCCTAATGCCAAGCTCTTGGATGAGGCTAGAGATGCCACCAGGTTAGGTGGCAGAATGTCAAGGGCACAGGTGACACTTTCTTTCTAATTTCAACTCATTAGGTAAACTATGTATTTAGTCATTCACTTATTCTTGTAGTTTTGTTTTGATCATCTAACTATTTTTTTAAATCATATCTAACATTACGTTTTGATTTCATTTTTATCACCTATCGTTAAAAAATTTACATGTTGTTATGTTTTAGTCATCCAACTATCTTTTTTTAAAATTATACATGATATTACGTTTTGTTTTCATTTTAGTCCCTCATTAAAAAAATTTAATGACGACACTTACGTGTCATCATAATTTTAGGATGAGCAAAATTAAATTAAACCAAAATTTGGAAGTCTAAACAAGTGTTGTTTGATGCATGCAGTATGGTGCTCTGAGAAGGAAAATTGGAGGGACATACAAGGATTTCTTCAAATCCTATGTTGAAGGTATGCATGAGTATTTTGGGGGGTTTAGATATAATTTTGGGTTTTTTTAATTAAATAATGTTTTGTATTTTGTCGAATATATAAATGAACGGACTGGAACCGAGAGCAGTGGATGGAGAATATGTGGAAGAAGGATGGGTGGACAAAACATGCAAGGTGTGCAAGAAAGATACAAGAGGTGAGGCAAGGCAAGTTGATAAGCTCGGAAGCTATGCTCATGTTGCATGCTTGGAGAACTCCAAGTCTGGAAATTTCTTCACCAGATTCTTCTCTGGATAGTCTACTTTTGTTATGAAAATTTTGTATTTTTTTAGTAATATGGAGATGAAGAAAACAGGTGTAATTGTTGGGATTTAAGCTTCGCACTTATTAATTGTATACTAAAATATATGTATAGCAATTAGCAATGATATTTATTTTAAACTTTGGTGGATCAATTACTCAACTCCTTCCCCTTAAAGGATAACACTAACACACGTTAAACTCAACTGTTGTATCAACTCGGAATCTCTAAGAATAACAATTATTTCTTTAATATTAAGATCTTTTGGTTTGTTCTATCATCCTAAATATATAGGTAAGAGTTTGTAAAATCTAATACAAAGTGAAGCCATCGTCGTAGGAGACATGGCATCCACGGGAACAAGGAGGAGCATTTTCATCATACTCTTGACAGCAACTCCATCTCTTCTTCCAATTGAGACGCCCAGTGTTTGGCCTATTGTTTTCTTCATTCCATTTGTACACTATGACCCCAGAGGCATCGCTCCAGTCCCCATCAATCCCCTGGTGTGGTGGTGCCAGTGCAAACAATCCTTTCTCCCCTGCAAACAACCAAATCAGCTTATACCAAAATCTTTGTATTGGGTTTGGAACTTTGGATAGATAGAGAGTAAGAAAGAAGATACCGTTGGCATGGCCGTGGAAGGAGCAAGCAGTAGGAGAATTATCAGCATCGGAGAACAGGGTTTTGCACCTCAAGCAACGCTTCTTTGGTTGGGATCCACCAGAGAAATCAATGGGTTTAGGTGTCTGAGTTGAATCTGAGCATAACTTGATTTTAACCAAGTGATGGTTGCAGCCGTAGACGAGGGTGTGTGCCAAAGCCATTACTTTTCACCCGTGTTTCAGTGGCTTAAAACAGATGATTTTGTGAGGCTCATCTTTAACTAAACTAAACAAGGCTCATGAAATACGCTCATATCTTAACCCAACTAATTGCAAAGCCCAAACCCATGCAAATAATGAAGCCTTCTCTTTCTTTTCTATGCGTCAAGGAAGACGGAATCATAACTATTCTCCTCAAACATACAGTTTTAACAAACTTATTTAGTCATATATCAAATTATATAAAATAAGACGATGAATTAAATTATCTTTAAAAAATAATGGATAAATTCAATATATTTATTTTGATATACGTAAAGAATAAAGATAAAAAAATATATAAATCTTATTAGTTGTTAACTTTTTTAACAAGATATTTTAAATGAAATAATTTTAAAATTCAAAAAGAACAAATTTAATAAGATAAAATAAATATTTATTTTTATACACCACGATGGGCGTAAGAGATAAAAACTTGGGGGTGAAATTTCTCAGATAATACTCCCGCAAAATTGTTCGATGAAATAGGACGATTGTTAGTGTCACTTGAAAGATGTCACGTCTGAAAGCTGACTGATGCACAAACACATCTTCTGTATCAACTCATTGTTGAAACTTGGGAAAATAAAAGACACAAACACGACTCCTAATAAAAAAGACTTCAAATCATTCGAGACTTTTGATATTATTGTAGCAATTATTCAATCTCATGAAATAATTTTATGGTCATCTTATACTATCCATTTTTTTCAACATCTTACTTAATCCAATTTTGCCATCGCACTGTAGTTCATGCTATCATTACCGACGACTGTTCATGTTGATTGATGCATCATAATAGATCATTTATGAAAAACGTGGTCTCTATTCTAATGAGACACTATTATTCTTTATTTTGGAAGGATGAAATCAAAACTACAATTAATTTTGGAATATGTGGTTTGGGTTCCAACTGTGCAGTGATGACTAGAGTTATTGTCATATTAATTTCAATCATCGTTTATTTGTATATTAACTTTTCAATTCTATTTTAGAGTACGTGAACTCGGATAAATAAATTAAAGAATAAATCATTTATTTGTTTACTTATTTTTTAATATTTATATTTTGATTATTTCTTGAAAGTCATACTTAACGATATGTTTTTATGTTGATTCTATAATTAAAAAATTAATAATAATATTAACATAACTGCTTTGGTCTATGCATTTAAAAAATCAATGATGGTATTGACATAATATTTATTATTGTTTTATCTATACATTATGTTTTCCTCGTCATCGATGATTTAAAATTTATTAATAATTTTATTCGACCAATAAAATGATGATACATGTCATTATTTTATGAAAATAAAGTTAATGAGATTTTTTTTTTACAAAAAGGAATCAAAGTCTAACCCTTTTGAAAAGAGTCCAAGCGTCTTACCATTCAACTAGACAGGTTAGTTGTGATAGTTTTATCAAAATTATATTTAAACTATTTTACACTTACTATTATATATATATATATATATTGTTGAGTTTAAGATTTTGGCCTAAACTAGGTTAATCACTATACACAGTTGAGGAGACAAACAAAATACTACTCATTTAATAACAATTACTAAAAGTTAATGGTTTGCTACTTATTTTCTAATAAAACCTTAAATGTAAAACTCGTTTTATAATTTAAAATTTTAACATCCAAAAAAATTATTTTGAAATAATATAATAACCATTTTTTTAAATTACCCTAAATGAAAATTTGTTTGGTCACGTCACTCGAGTATGGCTGTAAACGAGTTGAGTCGAGCTCAACTCGACTCGAAAACTCGCAAGTATTGTTGACCTAATTGAAAAATAAAATAAAAAGAGATATTATTACAATTATCTTTAAATATATACAAAATATTTATAATATTATATTGGGTCATATTAGATTGTTTTCACCCTAAATTTGAACTCGACCTGACCCAACTCGAATTTAATTTTTTATATAAAAAAATCAATCCAACTGGATCGAAACAGGTCAAAATCAGTCGGATTTGAAAAAAATTACCATCCCAAACTGAGATCACAGATAGCCAAAAATGGCTTTTACTTGGTCAAAACAGTAATAACCCTTTTGAGACTTGAGATAGTTGAAGGAAAAAAAACATGATATAAATGGAATGAAAGGTCTTTTTCTATCACAACTAATGATCAGGGTTCAATTCTTACCCTAAAAAGATCATTCACTTTAGAAGAATATATCAACCACTTGCAATATGTACATTACAATCATTACATCCACATAAATATATAGGTGAGAATCCGATCCTAAAATATGGGAAGGATTCAAACCCAGATCAACATTGACTCGCTTTAGCTGCTCTTACTCGTGGCTTCTTTTCCTTTTTGTTTAAAGCCCAAACCCAAAGCAGTAAAAGTAAAAACCCCTTCTTTTCATGAATGGGAAGGAAACAACTAAGAAAATGTGCATGGAATTATGCTCACAATATTTGGTCTTGACCCAGTCTCTCAATTCAACACAACACATATCAATCGCTTCAACCTTTTGGTTATCAACGTGTATCATGCGTTCATAATCTATTAACATTTCCCTCAAATAATATATGATCGGTGCTTAGGAACATCATGTTTTTCTATTAGTCTGTCTAGGGTGAATATAAGATAATATATGTTCGAAATACTCTCAATTAATTGACGATAAACACTTGTACAATCTTGTAGACGTTTTGCTTGAATCTGAGACCTCAAGAGATAACAACAATCCCTTAATCATTGAGCTTGCTTGGTTCGTGTAAGGGTATCATGCTTGAATAGTGAACTTTGTTGTGTTATGTGTAATACTATGTTATGTTTGCACATGTACTTGAGAATGTCTAATCCTATTACGTTGATGCATTTTTCATGTCATCTAGATTGCAATATAGATTTCAAGCATACAAACTTGTGAGGATAGGTTAAAATTAATAGACATAGTTTATTATGTTTAAATGTTTTGGCACATTTTAGTTGCATAAAAATGTTACATAAATTACTTGGTATGCCAAATTCTTCTCAAATGTCTAAATGTACGTTCTAGACTAATTATCATTGTTATAATTCATGTTTCACGTAACTTATTTTTAAAATATAAAAAAACTATATAAATTAAAAAAAATACTAATTTTATTATTTCAAAAATAAAAAACCTAAAAATATAAATTTTATCATTTATAAAAATTATTTAAAATTCCATGAAATAATAAATTCTAGAAAAAAAGTATAGTCTTTTCTGAAAATTTTATATTTTTTATATAATTGAAAATTTACAAAATTTTTGAAAATTATAATTTGTAAAAAAAATTAAATAAATATAAAAGATTATATAATATTTTTTAATATACGAAATATTAGTTTTTTAAAATTAAGAAATTTTATATTTTTAAAATTTCTTATAATTACCCTTTTAAAAAATGTCATTTGAATTATTCAACTTGAGTGTTAATGCAACTCTTTTATTATAGTTGTAGATTTGTAGCTTATAAAATTGGCATGTTGTCACCACTAGCATTTACCACCAATGATTTGTGTTTTCAGCGATCCTGTGGACCAAATGGGTCAAGATCCTTGACGTGCGAAAAGGGTTCGACCCTCTTACGCCACAAACGGTAAAAGTAAAAAACCTATTCATTTTTTAAAATATAGGATGACTTTTTACCTCAGTTTAATTATCCTAATTCTTAAATTTTTATTGTATTCCTTTGAGATTCAGAATTTTATTTGTTTGTTAAGCTAAGCCTAGATACGATGGAATAATAATAATAATAATAATAATCATAGTTTTACGTTGACGTAAATTATTTTGCACTTTTATCACGTCATTAAAATTTTAAAAAATATATATAATTGTTAAAATTACTCTCTAATATTTACTCGAGTTATTATTTTAGTTCTTTTTTTTGAAACATTTCCATCTGTGGTATTTATGCGTGTACTTAATTGATTACGTGTCACAAGTTTTGTCATTACTTTAAGTGGTGTGGAATGTGTCATGTCATCATCTTAGTGACATAATATAGTTATATCTTCCCATTAGGTGATATGACATATATTATGTCATTATCCTAGATGATGTGATATATATATTATATTATTATATTAAGTGATGTGATATGTGTTATGTCATCACTTCGAGTGACATGACATATGATATTAGCAATTTAGTACACATTAGTAATATTTATTAATCGTTAGTGCCAATGACAAATCCAGAAAAATTTTATAGATTGAGTCAATATAAATATAATAAAAATATTATCTAAAAACATTTCGTGTGTATATATATATATATTGTGTAACACCCCAACCCATATCTGACCCGAATACGAGTCCGATATGTCACATTGACATTTCAAAACCTTTATTCTTGCAAAATAACATAACATTTGATAAGAAAATATGATCATATATTATTGAATTGTATTCGTTATAACTAATTTAAGAAAATATACGTTTTATGAACAGTACTGTGAACAAATAATGAACAGTACTGTTAACAATAATGAACAATACTGTTAACAATAATGAACAATACCGTGAACAATACCCGAATGGTAAAAATTTTCAGATTGCTAAAAGGGAACCGATACCACAACTCGTATAAATGTCCCGAATGACCTATCCAGAGGTCATAAAGAACCTCGGCAATTTTCCATAGGTCCCAAAGAACCTAGGTAAACTGTCCATATGTTCCTTAGAACATAGGTATACTGTCCATATATCCCGAAAGACATAGGTAATTATGTCCATATGTTCCATAGAACATAGGTAAACCCTCGACTCTTGGCATGCCAACTATACCACTAGCTCTCATATCACATAACATGGGCAATATCATTTATATCATTTCACTTATTCACATGCACATTTCACTTTTCATATGATTTCATAATCATATGTCACTTAGAATATAACACTTCTCTTGTGTTCATATGACATGTAAATCATTGTCATCTCTTATTATAATATGCTTCACATACATCACTTATCACATATACTATATTCACAT